CCACGACCACGACCACGACCACGACTTCGACGACGACGACTACTTCTTGTTGCTGTTGTTGTGCTTGTCTTTGTGGTTGTTGGTGTTGGTGCTGTTGCTGCTGGTGGTGGTGATGATGAGGGTTTGCAATGGCTCGCGGCTGATTCCGAGAAATGAAGCCTGGGGCCAGCAACACCTTGGCTGGGAGCTTTGCTTCAGGTCCAATAGGCAACTTCACAATCCCAGTGCTTGGTACTTGGTACTGAGCAGCAGTGAAGGTTTCTGCTTGGACAGGCACAACAGCCGAGCCAAGGCCGCATACAGACTGATGCCTTGGGCGCCTAAGCCTGAAGACGTCATCAAACTCACGGCCACTACCCGAAGCCCGAAGCCAAACCTCGTTTATGCCCTCGGTACCCTGAGCAGGCAACCGACCTTTCAGCCCAACTCCAAGCTGGCAGGTCCGTCGACCCCAAGACCCTCATGTCCACCGTTGGTGCCTCCATGGGCTCTTGACTCAGCTTTCTCACATCTTGACCCAGTGAATGATGATGAAGATGCAGATGACAGGTGAGCGTCATGAACGGTCGCATCCCATTGATCAGACGAATAGTTCTGTCTCAGCGATATTGCAGCTCTCGCCGATCCGAGGCACTGACCTCGCCTTCCGTGCGCACGGCAAGGCACGCCCACCCCAAGAACCAAACTTTTGTGTTTCGAAGTGCAATCCTGCTTCGGCTATTTCCTGCCCGTTATTCTAAGTCATGGCATCCTCTCAGCTCTGAGTCCCGTGTCCCCTAGTGAGATCCTGGGTGCCGAGCTACACCGAGGAAAAGCGACACCTCATCTGCCCGAAGCGTAGCTTTCTCGGTTTTTGCTGTGGCGTGCCGCACTAGAGGCTGGCGACATCTGCGTGTTTGAGGACGCTTTGTTTCCTGTCATTTGCAGCAGTGCAAAGTGCCGTCGTCGAAGATCGACACAGCCCAAAGGTAGGGAGGCTCTGAAGCCCGGAAAGAAGCCATGCGACTTTTCCCAGACCCCGTGCTGCGGAAACGAACCAGTGCCAAATCAGCTCGCAGCGACGTCGCATGTCCTGTCTTGACCGGAACAATGGCCGATTGCGCAGTTCACTCACAAAGACTACTAGCAGATTCTCATCTTCAGTACCGGACTTAAGCCCGGTATCAAATCATGCTACACAGGTTCCCCAGCTGCCTGTGGAACGCAGGAGCCTACGTATTTCTTGGCTTTCACCATGGCTAGAAACTCGGGCTTGGAACTGCCGCGCACTCAGTGGGCCTCACCGCAAGCGAAGTATGCTGGTAAATAGGCACGTGAGTACGTGGATGTTGGGGGTGTTGTGGATGAAAGGGGAAAGCGACAGGGGTCAGGATTGAGGAATGTGTACTGGGTGGGGCAAGTTTAAGGCTTAACTATTGCAGAACCGGTGCAAGACGGTGCAGACCAACATCTTGATAGACTGCTTACAGGGTAGGCCATGCATTGGGAGACGGAAGAGCGACGCATGCAGAAAAAGTACAACGGCTCTCTTTGGGAAGTTCGCATGGCTTTGCAACAGTATAAAGAATACGATGACACTGACCACCCGACAAGAATGACACTGGCAAGTCCGTTGTGCAAAGGCCTCATTACTTCTCGTAGTCGTCAGACTACTGACAGCAAGACGCATCGATCGTATTCAATCGTTCAGATGGAGACACGAGACAGAAATTTCGCATCGCAAGTTGCTTCAAGGCCGGCAAGGTTTAACTTGGGCAACAAATCCTGAGCGGTGAAGTTCAAAGCCAGGATCCTGCGCTCAAATCAAGGCCTTAGGGACATAGCCGGTAAGTTGTGGATATGGCTAGGATTGGCAAGCCACCTGTGGCTTGGGATGCTCATTACTCTCCATGTGCATGGGCCGTTGGTTTTGTCCTCTTTGCTTCTGGCATCGCGTCTAAGCTGGGGCTAATGGCCCGCTGCCCTGACGGTCCATGCCTGTGCGCATGAGCGCACACATTCACTTGCAAGCTTCTCGATTTGTGAAGCATGTTGTCGCAGTGGTATGTAGATGTTTCAACCACCCGAATCGACAGCTGCAGCGTTTCGAGTTTGGGTTTTGGACCCGTTTAGGCTCCCTCAGCCTCAGCCCGACAGAATGCTTACAGCAAAGCAGGATCTGTGTAAGAATCCCTAAGCTTCGCATTCATGGTTAAGACTTTTGCTTCGCAGTTTACAAATCTTAGGGTGTTAGATTTGAGGCCTAGGCTCAAACGGTCAAAGGTCGAGTTTTTGTGTTTAGAGTTCATGCTTCACTGCAAGGACATACGGAAGACTATTGGTTGAGCATGTCTGGGGTTTAGGCATCTGATTTTGGGTTTAGGGACCACGTTAGCTTTGCCGGCTGCAGGAAGGGAGTGCCGATGCACGAAGATGGCATGGACCTGGACGCGTGCGCATTCCGGTTTCAGATTCACTCGTTTTTGGATTCGCGTAGGCCTTCGATGTCGAAAGCTTTCCGTTCACTGCATGCGTGTCCTCTAAGGAACTGGGGCTTCAGGGAGCTAGCAGCTAGATCTAGGGGGCTTGAGGGTTTAGGTTGAATTCAGCAAGGCTCTGTGAGTGCAACTCAGGTTGTTGGGTTATGTTCAATGTGTTTTTGGGGCTTCCGCTCCAATCTAGTCAATCTGTAACACATCTAGAACCAAACAATACTCCAGCCCTCAGCATAGACAAAGCACCCCAGCGACAAGCACAACGAGCCGAGCGTTGCAAGAAGAATGTGCGCCGCCGACATCACAGAATTCTATGTTCAGTATGTCGTACCTAAGACCTAGGACGTGAATCGGCATGTGTTACACCAGTCTTCAGGGTGGAGTGACGGCTTTCGCCTTCATTAGCTTGTTACTTCAGCCACTCAACTGTTAGTTCAATAGGTGTCATGCAACAGCCGTGTTGCTGCAACGTTCTCCAAAGCTGCAAGAACTGCGTTGTATCCCCTCATGAACGAACTGTTGCGATCGCAGCTACGAGTGGGAGTGAACCCGGACCCGGAGCCCAACACAGATGTTTGAGCCAGGCTTGAGAGGGTCTGCTCGGAGAGCGGCGGAAAGGTGAAATTCGTGGCTGACCCTGTGCGGGTTCGCTGTTGTCTTCCCGGTCACGAGGTGGTGTTTGTGTTCGACTCAAGATGTCAGTGGTCGGAACTTCAAGCATTTGTCAGTGCCGGCTGCTTTTGCGGCAGTTGGATTAAGGCGTGTGTGCGGTCCTGACATTTGAAAGGACATGCAAGGGTGTGAGTGTGTGTGTGTGTGTGCCTGTGTGTTGTGTGTTATGTGTGTCTGTACCGGTGTGTCTGTTTGCCTGCTCATCTGTGAGTGAGTGATTGAGCGAGCGAGTGGTGAGTAGAAGAGTGCAACAAGTACATGCCAAGGGTTGCCAAGGGCTGGGAATGCAATTCTTTCAGCTCCAAACTCCAAAACTCCAGGCCCTCCGACTTGTTCTCCGTGCAGCAATCGTGAGACTATACTTTCAGCCCCGCAGCATCAGAAGCTTCAGAGCAGCGCAGCAAAAGTTTGATAACGACAAGGACACCTGTATTCCAAAGATGCAGCAAGCAAGCCTGATGCCCCAGCTTCTCGGCCTACAACTTAAACAACACCTTCAAGAGATACGGCAAAGTCGTTGTTGATAGACACACTGGATTTGCTGGGCTTCTTGTCGTTGAGATGTGGGACTTGGACACTGAGACTCAGGTTTACACCGTGCCGAGCGCTTGGCTGCATGTTTCGGGTCTGGCAGGACAACCTGTCCGTACTGTTGGCATGGCTGTCGAGGATTGGTACGAGTCAGAATACAGAATTTTGCTTGTACCTTGTGTTTGTGATTATAGAGGGTTTCGTCTGGGCCTCTGCAGGACCCGCACAGGGATCTGTTGCATGTGTGTGGCTGCAAACGAGTAGCAGTGATCATGTCGAGCTGACTGCTGCTGCTGCTGCTGCTGCAGCATGGCTGCTACTGCCACTACGCATCACCACAATCTCTTAGCACTGACTGCAAACCAGCACCACCAGCACCACCAGCACCACCAGCACCACCAGCACCACCAGCACCACCAGCACCACCAGCACCACCAGCACCACCAGCACCAGCAGCAGCACCAGCAGCAGCACCAGCAGCAGCACCAGCAGCAGCACCAGGAGCAGCACCAGGAGCAGCACCAGGAGCAGCACCAGGAGCAGCACCAGGAGCAGCACCAGCAGCAGC